GGGAGAGCTCGAGGGCGAGCGAGTGGCTGCGAGACTAAACTCGTGGGTGCCCTCGGCAGCGCGGCGCGGGCACGGGGGATTCCAAGGGTGAGCGGGGGTCTCCCGTCAGCGGGGCGGGCTCCGGGCAGGCCGCCCCAGGGAGCGGAGCGGCGCGCGATCCCGCAGGAAGCGGCGGCGGGGCCGGAGGAAGCGCGGCCGGGGCTCCCCCTGCTCCCGGCGCTCCCCATTGTTCCCCGGCCGCCTCTTTTCGCGCCGCTTTCCGCCGGCGGGGAGGAGGGAGAGCCCCGGGCCCCGCATGCTGTGTGCTCGCAGGCAGCGGCGCGGGGGGACCCGCCGGGAAACCGGGTTCATGAGTAGAGAGGAGCCTTTAGAAGTGCCATCCACTGAGGGAGCTCCGTGAGGCTGTAGCTCACGTGTTACTTGAAAGGTAAAAACCCCCCAACTACCGCAGCGGAATTGTACATAAAGTAACATCTGTTTCTGGGTGGATTTTAGAGCAGGACTTGTTAAAGAAATTGGGAAAAACTGCTCCGACCCACTGGATTTGGATTAATAAATGCGGCCAAAGAGAATTTTGGAAGGAACTATTCTTAAATCTGTCTATAAAAGCGAAGATTAATCTTATACTGTTTTTCGTATAAGCACCATGATAGATTTTTTTTCCCCCCCCAAATGATTATTTTATGTTGGTTTGAGATTTTAAAAGATTTGTTTTAAAGGAAAAGTGTTGCATTTTTTCTCCCTGAAAATAAGTAGAAATTAATTTTTTTTCAGTACACCATTTCAGACTGAACTTTCTCATGTATTTCCATAGGGGAAGAATTAACTAACTTGATGTTCAAGAAAATTTCCAACAAGTGCCCTTAATCATCTAAGAAAAAAAAAAAAAAGTATTTGGACATTGTTTCTGGAAGATAAAATTAAAACATGTAGGGACTCATATTTGCGATGACGAAAGAGTTTCTAGAGAACAGGTTATTTTAAGAAAATCCTTTCTAGGAGAATTGTGATTATTTTTAGTGAGTTACCACCGAATGCTTGTGAATTTATTTTAAAATATTAAAAGCAATATCTAGACTTTTTAAAAAAATAAATATATGTCAAAAAATTAACATTTATCATAGATGGCGATCAGTAAGTAAAAGAGATTAAAGATTGATGTTTATAGATATCACTTAGCTGAAAATAATTCTGGAGTGACTTTTCTTTCCCCATGCACACTTGGGAAGTTGCATGCTTGCAGTCATTGTTTAAGATAATGCCGTTTGGGACTTTTCTTTCACTCTTGGAAAACTTGCAGGCTTTTGTTGGACTCCTCCAAATAAAAACTCAGTTCAGTTTAGATGGTTAAAAGCATGCATATTATTCAAAAGCTGAAGATGCAAGTAATATACAGAAAACACCACCCTAGTAATATTTAATGGCATTATCTGTAAGATCGAGGAAAAAAAGATTTTTGTTTTGTTTTACTTGTCCTGCTTGCGTATTCTGGAGATGCATTTGCTCTTGATTGCTGCTTGGGAATTTTCAGAGGGTTACTACAAATTTAGAAAGTGTCATTCAAAAGGATATTTAATACTCTTGCATTTGCTAAAACACTATATCTCTATTTGCAAATTATCTCATTGAAATGGAAGATTGTAAAAAATAGGAAGAGACCTTTTGTTGCCATTATTCATTACTCGTTATTTTGTATTTGTGCGGAATGTGTTGACATTTTTTATATATTAATTTTTTTTCACAGAGGAGCATTGTTGTTACTTTTAATTGGGAAGTACCATGTTCTAGAAATTACCCACATTCCCGACTCTGAAGTACCGTAGTAGGATTGACAAAAAATGATCCGAGGCTTGTGCGATTAATTCACCAGGAATGTTAAGCTTCCCATATACACCCTATGTGGTCAAGTTAGAATTTCGCTCTTAGACAGCTTTTAATAGTCAAAGTTGTACCTGGAGGAAATGTATACATGTATATCTATATGGAATTGAAATGAGATGGTAACTAGCAGTGGGAATGCAGCTCACTGATCGAAAGACCTTTTTTTTTTTTTTATTGCATTTGGCAACCTCTTTCTTTCAGAGACACAATACAATTAATTAACATATTCTGGGGCGTGTTTTTGAGATTGGGAAGTGGTGGCCCCTTGTTGAGAAGAAAACACTTTAAATAAAAAAGTAACATTGTCTTGTCCAAATGGTAGTGGGAAAAGCAGAGTAGTATTGCTTATCCAGCCCACGGATGCGGTTGATTTACTCCAATTTGCTTTAGCATATAACAAACCAGCTTTTCCTTTCCCACGCTTATGTTAGATATATGTGTTTTGTTTATACAAACCCATCTAAAATAACTCTGCATTTAAGAGATTTGATGGGAAATTCAGCATGTTTTTTCTCGTATTTAATACGTAGTATAGCTACCATTCCTGAATTGAAATCAAATAAATGTGACCAGTGACACAACACAGTATCACAATGCCGATCGTAACACAACAAACATGAAAAGAAGGCTATTAATTTATATGGAATGTTAATTTAGCAAATCCTACATAGAAATATGCCAATAGAAGTAATCCGAGGATTGGTCTTGGAGTGATGCTATTTACATGTATTTAATATAAATCCAGTGAATTAATACATAGCTCATAAAAATCCGAACTTTGAAATGAAGTATTCTTCTTTGCAGAAAAGCCCTTTTTAAGTTGCATATAATCTACATTCCAGAGTTTACTAACCCAGCTTTTCAGGGCTTAATACAGCATTAATATTCAGTATGGTTTGCTAGAAGTTTATTTCAGGTTCTTTTGTATCATACTGTAATTATCATTACTTTGACTTAACTCATATAATAATGTGGTTAGCATTTAAATGCTTTTTTAATGTAGAGTATTATAAATTAACTGTCACATTTAACTTCTTTAACTTCTATCACTTAGGGAATGTTATTTTTAAAAGGAAATAATCACTGCACTTAAAAGCATCCTGTGCTAGGTTTCCTTTATTTAGAATTTTGATTTGAGATTGTTCATTCAAAGAAAATCCCTTGTTTCTGTTTACTGTAAACCTCAGACTGAAATTAACATTTAAATGCCAGCACTAGTAACAGAAGCAGTACTTGAAAACCACCATTTTATCCATTGCTGCTAGCTAAGTGGAATTTACCAAACTCTCCAAAGGTGATAATACAACTAAAAGCAAGAAAATGAATGCAATAGTTGGTGGAATTATTTCCCCCCCCCCTTTTTTTTTCAGTCTAAAGAACTACAAAATTTGTAAATATGTTCGCATAAAAGAAAATAGCACAACATATGAAGAAACATGGTGTCCAGGAGATGCACTGACATGATGTCCAATGCTACTACCTGTACTTGCATGACATGTAAATATACAGAGCAATGCAAATTCCTCATCACCAAATGACTACATGTTAAATGTTGAGACGTCTAAATTATTCAGTACATTGCATTTGGATAGATGTTAAATACGGATTTTAGCAGTGTATTAAAAAAGAGGAAGAGGAAAAAGAAACTTACTCTTTCTCAATACAATTTAAGAGTAAGCATGTAAAGATACATTTACTTTATTAATGTGGGTTCTGTAGACATGCTGTATCCCTCATAACTGAACGTGGATAGAAAGAATTTGTTGGATCTAAGGCAGACTGCATTTAAAATGCACTGTGTGCAAGGGTCAACATGTAAGAGTTGCATTTTATTTTGTGTAAAGTGACCATTTCACTACTGCCTTCCCAGAAATGAAGCCAATACCCATGATTAGAAGGTATTTCAGTGAATGCTGTTAATGATTTAAAACCACATAAACAAAAGGCAGACAAGCATCAATGTATTTTAAATGGATAATCAAGAGATAGATCATTCTACCTATTGAACATCACTAAGCTACTGCAATTTTTCTGTTTCCAGTTGCATCTGTTTAGCTGCAGCATGTATCTTTTTGCACATAGGAAAAGATCACAGCTTTCTCAACAAAGACCCAATCTGAAAATGGAGTAAAAATTACTGTGAGAAGTTTGCTTTCTGGAAGGAAGTGAGTTTTCCTGCTCTACAGCTCCAAGTCCTATTATCAATTTACGTTTTCTAATATCGTATGCATTTTATATCGAGTCTGTTATTTTTTTTGAAGATTCTTCTGGTGATTATATTCAACTGGTAATGTGGCTTTGTAAATTAAAGACTTTTTCTTGTTCAATGCTTTGTTTGATTCACTAAAATTACAATTTGATTTTGCACATTTTACGGAAAAAAGGTGACATTTAAACTAAGCATTCAAAAACCTTAGTTTTATTGTTACAACTGCTTATTTTGTAGTAAAAAATGTGTGAGTATGTCTATTTTTGTGTATGAAACTGAAATGCTATTCACTATGCTAATGTTTCCTTGAGGAATGCCTTAAACTTTTAAAAACAATTTGCAATTGGAGAGTGTAATTTTCTTTCACTTACACATTCATTCTGTTTGTGAAAGTACCTAAGAAAAATTGAAACACAGAATTTTTTTGTAAGTTTCTTATATTCTAACTTATTTAGCTCCTAGATTTTGTAGGTTCCTTTAAGTGAATTGGATTTTTTCTTTGTATTTAGATTAACAGTAATATTGTTCACTGAATTACATTCTTCTCTAATTATTAATCTCTAGTATATCAATAAAAGAAGGACAGGCTTCCTTTTTTAAAAAAGGAAGACTGGCCTTCTGTGTCATGTCAGTGCTTATTAAATACTACAATCATAAGAACATACATGCTACAAGATTTTATGTTCTGATTCCATAGCTGTTACAGGCTTAGTACTTGCAGTATTTATTTAGTGGTAATGCATTTCTTTTCCTATTTTGCATTTCAAAGGTCTTCTCTAAATGATTATTTTACAGAACTATCAAGAGGTTATCTAAATTTTTCAATCAAATATTACACAGTACCATAAAGTGGTAGTCATGGAGTTTCCTTCAGTCCATGTACACTCTTTCTATAGAAAGAATTAAAGAGAAATCTATGAGAGGACAACAAATGTTTCATTAAATAATTAAATGTATTAGGCTTGACTAAATTTTAACCAAAGCAAAATTTTGGGCTGTTCCATACTGAACTGGTGTGTTACATGGTGTGAGTTTAGAATATTTTTATTTGAAAACTATACAGTAGGTTCTTCACAAATATACTCTTGTTGCTATGGTGCAGCATTAATCAAGTTGTTGCAAAGTAATTAGTTTTTTCTTTGGTGATGCTTCTTTATAAAACTAAAGATTGAGCTTTAAAATAGCTAACATAAAAAAAAAGATGTTTGGGAATTGATTGTACTAGTTGCTTTTCATAGAAGAAATTGCAGGAAGACCTCAATAAATTTAAAAAAAAAATGGTGAGAAAAATTTATAATTGTTTGTTACAATACATTTACTAAATGTATAAATTCATCCAACAAAATATATTTAATGTATTTTTATTTAAAAAGGATATTTATTTTAATTTATATGTCAGGGAAATAAAGGATAGATTTGCTGCTGTACCATGACTTTTTTTTTTTTGTGTGTGTATGTTAGGGTTAGCAAAATCATTGAGAATGCTTTTTAAATTAGATGTCATTTTCTTGACAAGAATGAAGAAGGGCTGTGACACTGTATCTATCAGTTTCAAATAATTTGAGTTTTTTTAAAACACCAGGATATATTAATTGCATTATTTTCTTGCAAAGTAATTGCTTGCACCTGCAATTTTCAAGGTATTTTTATGAGCTTTTAAAGTAATAAAAATAGTGTTTTAAGAATGTTTTATAACAAATAGTTTTATGTTCAAATTTGTGTTCTTCAGTGCTGATAGGACATTTGGTGCAGGGTTTTTTTTTTTTTTTTGAGAGCAGTCTTTGATTTTACACAACTGAAATATACTACATTCCAGTCTCCTCCCCCTCCATTTTTTTACATATCTTAAAAATTTCTAAACTCTTATGGCTATTTGGAGCATATATTTACAGAGAAATGCTTAGAATGCACCCCAAATGTCTCCAATAATCTCATGTTTGGTTGGGCTTTGCATGTAGGAAGCTATCTCCATGATTCTTTTTTGGCCTGCTTGCTATTCTTCCTCTATCAAAATAATTTCACTTAAAACTTGAAGGAGAGAAAAGAGCCTGACCTAAGATATCCTGAATACAAACTGCAGACTCAGATGTCTGCAGGGGGTAGAGTTGTGCACATCCCACCTCTCCCTTCCATGTAGCAGTTCGTTAACTAATAAAACATCTGCACTTGTGTACAGGGCTATGACAATGTATAAAATATAATCTGCATATGTGTGGGTCTAGGTAGTGCTGTGTCCAGGAATGTACATAATTCAGTAGTGATTTGTACAGATATAAGCTTAAACTGCCCTTGCAAAATCATGGTGAAGAATACAGCCCACACACAAATTCTGCTTCTCCGCCCTTTAGCATGATAACGAAGATGAATCAATGATATCTTCCTTGCCTAACACAAAATAAATAAACAAATAAACATAATTGCTAGGCCGGGGGCAAGTGAGTGACCAGAATTTTGTAAGGCTGCGTTTAATTTCTCTATGCTGCTAACAATCATCACAATTAGTTCCTTCTGCTACAGGCATACCTGCTTACAATGGAGAATTGAATAGGCTGAGATTTTCGTCTCTGCTGACCACCTCAGCTCGCTCCCCCGTTTTCTCCCCCCGCTCCCTTTTAATTTAGAGACAACAGAATTACAGAATTGTTTTGCTAAAAAAAAAAAAACAACAATCACCCAGCTTCTAGAAAGACATGTCCACCTCTGAGTAAAAGTAGAGAGCAGCCGTATTGAAGAACATGTTTGTTTTTTGTGTGTCTGCGGCCTCCCTGCTTTTTCTATTTTGTCAGATCTCGCGTTCAGCATCACTTTGGCTGCCGTGGCAGGAATAGCCAGGCAGCGCTGCATCCACGCCAGGAGTTTTGAGGGAAGAGGAAAGAGCGGGATTAATAATGCATTAGCTTTGCAGCCCCATCGCAGGGAAAATAAACAAAATAGTAAAAGTTGCGGTGAGGGCAGGCAAGTGGCGTAATAGCGAGAACGCATTAGTCCTGCAGGCACACCGAGGGGATATAAACAGGATAATAAAAGTTGGGAGCGGGAATGCATTAGTCCTGCAGTCACATCAGGGGGAAAATAAACAAGATAGTAAAAATGATTTCGGGGGCGGTGGCGAGGAGGC